CTAAGAAATGGGTGCTATGTACTGTGCGAAAGCAATCGATTTTACAAGAATAAAATTTTGGACAACCCTCTTCTAAGAATGCCATTTGAGTGTGTCAGTGTGGCCAGCTCGGGGCAATATCATATTATAAACACATCACATCACGTCTCTGCTGTTTATAACTTCGTAGCAAAGAAAAAACGACATTCATAGCGGTGACACCGCTAGCAAGAGCCACAGGAACTTTGCTGCAAGACAGGCATATGTAACAATGACTTAGCGCAGATAAAGACGTGTCATATTATACTCTGTACTACTGACAACAGGCCAGCGAAAAATCTAACAATCTACAGCAAAACCATCAATTATTATGGGCGTTATAACATAGGTGTGCAGCTGGACGAAACATACACGTCGAACCCCCCCAGACGATTTAAATCCCTGACGAAACATACACGTCGAACCACGGCAACGGGTTAATGTACCCTGAGACATGTAAGATTTTAGGGCTATAATCGCGTAACATGCGGAGGCCAATCTAGACATTAACCAATCCACATGTCCATTCCAAGACAATGTGTTATCAATAATAAGCCCCAGAAACTTAGTATCTGTAGTGTTAACAATCCGATCATCATCATCCTCAATATGAATATCCATCGGCTGGCGGTTCTTAGTCAGAAATTCGATAAAATGTGTTTTCTCAAAATTTAATGACAATAAATTATCTTGAAACCAATCATTTATGTTTTTAAATATTAAAGAAGCCTTGAATTCATAATCAGCAGACCTAGGGTTAGTAATGACTATGCTAGTATCATCAGCAAAAATAACGGGTTTGGACTTGTTCGATATGATATAGGGCAAGTCATTTATATACAACAAAAACAACAAAGGACCCAGAATTGAACCTTGGGGGACTCCATTTTTAATTTCCCCCCATTCTGAGTACCTCAGACCGTTATTCACAACAACTCTCTGATGCCTATCAGCAAGGTACGACTTAATCAAAGCACCAGCCTTATCAGCCACGCCGTAAAATTCCAATTTCGATAGTAATATATCGTGATTAACACAATCAAAGGCCTTTTTGAGATCACAAAAGATACCACCAACAAACATACCATTGTTCAAAGCATTTAATACTTCATTAACTAGTTCATACGTGGCTATTTCAGTCGATGATTTACTCCTAAAACCATACTGATCTTTAGCTAGTATATTATTATTAAGTACATGTCGGTGCATTCTTATATAAATAATCTTTTCAAAAACTTTGGAGAAAGATGTCATTAATGATATCGGTCTGTAATTAGACATATTGGTTTTATCTCCATTTTTGAATAATGGCTTTATTACTGAATATTTTAATCTGGTGGGAAAAACACCAGTTACAAAGGCTCTGTTACAAATATAGGCTAGTGGAGAACTAATAAATGGTGCAGTGAATTTTAAAATTTTAACCGAGATCTCATCATATCCATTAGAGGATTTGGGTTTAAAGGACCCAATTACACTTTCAATTTCCTTATACATAGTCTGATTTAAGTGAATTTTAGGGAATGGTCTAATAAAGGCTTGATTCATATATTTTGTATGATTAGCTGAATCAGTCCCAGTAGCATGTCTATTCGTTACCCTTTTAATATTATCAGCTATAGTTAGAAAATATTTGTTTAAAGACTCAGCAATCATCATGTGATCGTCCGTAAGTTTCCCATTATTGGTTAACAAACATTTTAAAGACAGGGCTAAAAATCTTGGCATTCAAAAGTGAACATCTCTTCATAAGATTCCACACATCCATCACCACATAAACACTTGACAGTTTCTGCTTCAACAGAGTTCACTTACTTAAAAAACAAAGCTTTCTATATTTTTTAACTTTAAGAGTTACACAAACCAAACTGAAACCTAGTGCCATCTGTGTATGAAAGCAAAGAACACTTGCTGGTATCCTGACATTAGGGTGCAACCTATATGCAAGGGAATTATCAAGCATATAAATACAAAATCCCATGCCACTCTTGTTACATTACCTTGCCCAGTTTGTGTCCTGAAGGAAGCAGAACTGTGAACTCAGGTATGATAATCCACACATCATCTGGAGCCTCCAACTGCTCTTTCAAAATATCTGCTGTCACAGGCATGTATGGTTTCAATAGGACTGCCAACAGACAGGCAATGTTGCAGCAGATACCTATCACTGTGCCTGCATGTGCTCTGAAAAACACAAATATCTTCAAAAACTAAGATTTTTAAAAAGAATATAAAGTTTGTAACCTCCACGATTATTTCAGAACACACTTTACTTCCAAGTTTTATTTTTCAGTTTCATTTACTTCAACTGATAACAGAAAACCAATCCAGTTCTCCCTGAAAACTGCTGCAGCAATCTTCAAAGTATAATTGGATATAAATGTAAGCATTAATCACATTCCTACTGCAACCCACAGACCACATATAACCATCACCTTCTACAGAATGAAGCCATCATTAAATTCAATGCTGATTTACAGATCACCAGGTCATTCAGGGATGAATTCTTTTAAAGACAGAGATAACAAAATGTAAAAAATATTAATTTACCTCTGAATGTTTTTTTACCATCACAAATTCCATTTCACAGTATGTAGTAAGTTTTTATTTTGTTTACTACCTTGACTTCACTGCTACCTTTATAACAAGGGCTACGGAGTGCATACAACAAGTTACCTGCCATATGCACTTCTCAGTTCATACATTTATCCATTGCATTTCAGTGAAACTCAAAATTCAGGAGTATATAAAAACAAGATTTACCTCTCTTCATCATTGCCTTTCAGAAGTACCCAAGGTTGCAGGAGTTGCATATACTGGTTCCCATGACGAGAGATGTTCAAAATGTGACGAATCCCATCCCTTAGTTTTGCATTTTCCAGAGCTCCCATGTAGGCCTTAAGCTCACGAGTTATCAATGCCAACAGTGTCCACTCCTGAACTCCAGGTAACATATCAGGAACTTGGCGTGAAAAATTCTTTTCAGCAAATACAAGAGACCTATGGAAGAATCAGAAAAACATTTCTTTAAAGAGCAGATGTTTCATACAAGAATATGAAATGGTTTATTTTCAGTAATCATTTTACAATGTTCTCGTAAAATAACACTAGCATATCACTGTCAATGCTTCTTAGAACAGAGTGCAATGGGGAGGGGAACTGGTCCTTGCTATCACATTCCTACAGCTATCAAAAATGAGCATTAACAGAGAATACTTACTTCTTTACTTTGCCCTCAGGTGTTTATACTGGTAATTTATGTATCAGAAGGTTATGAAGTTACAACACTTAAGCATAATACAAACCCATTTAAAAACAAATTACACACAATTCCAAATAACTATAAGCGTGAAAACTTAAATTATGAATAGTAGTAATTAAACTGTAATCTCACCGATTTTCAAATCTTCAAACATACAAGTGGAAATAAATAATGCACAGCAGTTAATACTAAATTAATATAAATTAAATTCATTACTAAATGAAAAAAGAAATGACACTGTATATGCATATGAATGAAGATGGTTAAGAAATTACACACGAGAGTGCCATAAACCAGACTATAATCATGTAGAACAGACAACAAATGTGTCAGGGCGCATCTCTGTGCTGGACGGTTAAGTTCTTCATGCACAAATTTTGTTGTTCCTTATGCAAGTTTTGCTGTTCTCCAGTCACCTATTCCTCGTATGCCCATGAATTTCTTTCTTGAAACCTTTCTTTCCTCAGAACAGAATAACTTTTATAGTCATACAAAACAATGGATAAAATAGTAGATATACTTACTTTTATTTTAATTGTAAATCCTTTAGAAAGTAGGAACAAAAAATAAAAGTTTCTGACAAGATTTTCAAGCCGTCTGATTTCAATTTTGTTATTAATTATTTTAGTTGTTAATCACATAGAACGTAAGAACAAAAATACATGTTTCTGACAAGGTTTTCAAGCTGTTCGATTTGTCGTGAACATTTTTAATAAGATTAATTCACATAAAGAATATAAAAACTTGCACACCATATTTTTGAAGCCTATGCATCTGTCTATTACATCTTTCCACTCCTGAAAACTGTCAGATTTTCACAGAACTTGGCAAGGAGGGTCTCTGCTAATTCTTTAATTAAAAATAAATCTATTACTTTCAATATACCACTTTGTGACATATTTCAAGCACTGTATATAATACTGTAACATGTTTGGAGTAGGAACTTCCATGGTAACGCAATAACAGTGAGCCGTTGCGTAGACAACACTGAAACAACAAAAGTGTTTCCCCGGAGATGGACAACAAAAGGCTCGCTGTGTAACAATGGACTGTCGGAACAGAGGTAACAGAACCGTGCGAAATGATGTCTGGTATCCAGTCCACATAACGCCTATATAAGCAGAGTTACACACAAACGAATGAGACAGTTGGGATCCAGCCACAGCCAAGGACAGTTGAGATGTCGCATTGAAGTAGAGGCAGTAGTTGTGATACTGCAAGAGGTAATGGTTGTAAGGTGTGTAAGAGTGAGTGTCCAATAAAGATTCGCTAAATCCAAGACCCATGTGAAGTTATTTGACGCGTGACATACCCAACACGTGACAATATCAAAACAATGTTTCAACATTTCAGAATCATTCCACTTCCTTCTTACCTGTTGATAAAGTTACCAAGGTTGTTCAGAAGTTCAGAATTGTTCTTAGTGGCAAGATCCACCCAGCTAAAATTTGAATCTTGAGATTCCGGTCGAACATAGAGAAGGTAGAAACGCCACACATCTGAAGGGATGCCAGTCTCTTTTGCATCTGTGCCAAAAACTCCTACACCTCTACTTTTAGAGAATTTCTCATCTTCATAGTTCAAGAATTCTGTAAAGTTTGGAGACAGACATAAGTGATGATGATATTTGCATTATATACAAGTGTTTTCATGTACTATTATGCAAGCTGAAAAAAAGCTAAAGGTAAAGGTAAAGCCATCCCTGTAACAGGCCGTGGAGGCCCAAAGGGTTGAGATATTGAGGCTCCCACATTTTCTAGACAATCAGCTCACAGACAGCGTCAGGTTGTCAGCCGTACACACCAAATCGCTGCCTTTTACCATCAGGAAGATTCCTGGTACTCATTTCTGTTAGAGACTGAGTTGACCTCAGGGCCATAGTGTGGCTGGAAGGATTAGGTAAACTGAAAAATCCAATGACCTCATCATGAATTGAACCTACAATCTTCCGGCTTGTATCATAGTGCCTCAACCAATTATGCTACTGCATGCCACAGTATTGCACAAGTGTTTTCAAAATCGCACATCACTAATCATCTATCAACTCTGGAGGAAATAATTTTCATGAAAGTATACACAGGAACCATTTAAATTCAGGCTGGTCCCACAGCTGTTATATAACCTGACACTTGCTAATACAAATTTTACATTATGCAGTGAACTGCTCCAATGAAGCTATTTTTATTAAGTGATTAAAATTAACGCTTTAAGTGTACTGTTGAAATGCTGAGCCCATGTAATGAGCAAACTGATCCAACATTAACTACATAAAGAACCTTTCTATAACACAAACTACTTTAACACACATCTGCCAAACTACCATATTTACACATGTATAGGCTGCGTGCGTGTATAGGCCGCAGCACAATTTTCAGACAGAAATTATAGAAAAAATAATTTTCTTGGAATATTATTTCAGGAGTAGAAATTATTCCGAAATTTGGCAACATTTAACATTCCTAAGTTCGCAACTAGCGAAAATAACGGTACCGCTCGGAACAAAGGCATTGCGGGGGAGAGTTATAACCTTTTCGCCTTTACTTGACTTGCATGGTTAGTTCTGAGTGAAACATGGGTCGAGTAAGAGCAGGTTATACGTCTAAATTTAAACTTCATGCGATGCGAAGCATGTTTGCAAGCAGAAGGGGGTCACTTTCAGCACCTGTTATAAAGCACAGTAAGTTTGTGTTATCTTTTTACAGTATTCTTATAAATGTGTGCATGTACAGAAACTGATGTAAGGGTATCAGCGACACGACTGCACTCTCGCTAGCAGGGAGGGGCACAGTAGTAGCGGAGAAACGTTCCATCTGCTCTACACTGCTGCCCCGGTTTCCTCGATCTTTGAACACCCTGTATTACTAATTATGAATAATTTTTTTTTAAACGAAGTGTGATTTCGAATATAAGCCGCACCCCACTTTTCCTCTTGAATTTTTGGCAAAAAATGTGCTGCCTATACATGCGTAAATACGGTACTTTACCAAAGAGTCATCAAACTACACAGAAAAGCCTTTCTGTAACATGGTCTCGTATGTCACAGTTCTATCAAACTACACAATGGCGCACTTCAAAATATGATCAACTATATATTAAACTACAAAGTGGGCCCTTCTACAGCATGGCCCACTCTACCTCACATCAATTTTTGGCCAGAAAACCTAGCCAGGAGCTTTTGCACGAACCTCATTATAATACTTTCTTGGAACATAACTCCTGCAGCCCACAACACAACAGCACTGCAGTCTATTGTATCATTTCTCTTACCTGTAGCCATTATATGGCTAACAAGTGTATAGTTCCTATTGGCGCCCAACAGACATGAAGGAAACATAACAGAGTGGAAAGGAACATTATCTTTTCCAATGAAATTATAGTATGTAACAGTTGTATTCCTCTCTGGCCGCCACCATTTCTCCCACTGATCTGTGTATGTTTTTGTTATGCTCATGTAGCCAATTGGAGCATCAAACCAGACATAAAACACCTGTTGAAAAAAAATACAGAATCTTCATTCTAAATACATTGCTAAAACAGGATATGCGAGTATTATGTCCATACTATACACAGAAAGCTTCATCTCTGAGCACGTACTAAGGCAGGAGAACTAGACAATCCTTCCAAAAGTCAAGCCAACCTACAGCACTTAAATTCACTTCACAGTACCACAGCCTAGGAAACTCTTTAGTCTAACAAGAGGTTACATATCACTACCAAACAGCTACATTTAGATTAAGAAAATGTTAAATGCCAGTACTCAAAGACTACATTTAGTAGACTATAAAGAGATTATGAATTGCTGACTAGATGCAGTAAGGCAGAATCATTCCTGGGAACATCACAATCACACAGCTGGTCAACAGATCTCATGGAATTGTAAAGTTCATTACTGTATTCACAAGGCATAATAGCCAGCTGAACCCAGTTCAGACACTTTAAGATTCATTTTAATATTATCCTCTCATCTATGCACCCATCTCCCAAGCAAACTTCTTCCATTTAGATTACACATCACTATGAAATGGTTATATTTTGGCTAAGAAAGCATTACATATCACTACAAGTGAAGATTACTAACAACCTCATCACTAACATTTTTATATTGCAATGTTTATCATGTTTTGAAAACACTCACTGTATCACTAACAACAGCCACTAAGATCTTTATACGACGCGTAGTAGCTCAAGCGGTTAGTCGCTGGCTTCCCACCGCAGCGGCCCGGGTTCGATCCTGGGTCTGGTCAAGTGGGATTTATGGTGGACATAGTGGCGCTGGGGTGGGTTTTCTCTTGAGTACTTCGGTTTCCCCTGCCAATCTTCATTCCACCAAATTCTCCATCATCATCATGCGGGGCAGGCTACAATAGGCCAATCGGTGGCCGCCACCATGCCGAGTGGACCCAGTTAGACTCCACCCCCCACTAAGCGAATTTAAGATCTTTATATCAGCTTGTATTTATATAGTACTGTTTCAACATACATCATTGCACTGCCCTCTTCCTGCATAAATTATAGTACCTTGTTCCTGTATCCATCCAATGGAACTGGGACTCCCCACTTGAGATCTCTAGTAACACAGCGTGGTTTAAGTCCATCTTTTAACCAAGCTTGGGTGATAACTCGTGCATTGTGTGACCAGCCATCAATAACTCGAATCAACCAATTTCTCAACAGGGGCTCTGTCTGCAAGAATCAATGTACAGAAATGCTACATAACCAGAACTGTACAGTTTGTACAGAAAATTCCAAAGCAAAATATATGACCTCATTAACAATAAAGGAGCAAAAATATCAACCATAATACTGGGTACAAATACATCCACAAACATGTCCTCTATCAGCAAAATTTACTTACACAGGGTTTAAGGGCAACAACTAAAAGTGGTGCCCTTCAAAATCAAATGCATTCTACACTAAGCAAACAGGCCCCACAAGACGTGGGAGTTGTTTCTTTTAACGGGCGTATTTTCAGCAAAACAATGCAACAGTAAACATCACAGAAAATTCTTTGTACGCTCCATGGAATATGTTTATTAGTATATGACACTCGCGAGACAGAAACATACATAACCTTAACTTCCAGCATCACAACTTACACTGAATCAAACTCAATGAAACAAATCAAGACTGGACTATGAATCCCTTCCCTCAAAAAGCATGGGTGTCACATTCTACCTCAAAAGAGACAAAGAAATCTTAAAAATTAACACAGCAAGAACATGAACTCAAAATAGCAAACTACAGCTTCTGTACTTATTTTGCATTGAAATATCAATTGAATATGCTACAGAATATTAATAAATGACAATTTGAAAGTGGATAAATTTTGTTACCTCAAATGATGAACTGCTTACCTTTGGAAGTTCAAGAAAGAACTGGTCTGACTTTGTTACAACAGGCCTTTTCTGGCAGATTTTACAGCGAGGAGAAACGAGCTCCGTGGCATTGACAAGATGGCCACAGCCATCACACTGATCACCTCGTGCATCCTCATATGCACAACGAGGACACGTTCCTTCTACAAACCTGTCAGCTAGATATCTGTTGCAGTTCTCACAAAGGAGTTGCTCCACTGACTCCTTTGACAAAAAACCATTCTCATACAATTGTAGGAACAGATCTTGACTGATTCTGTAACAGATAAGAATCATACATCAAAACCTTTATTTTATGAACCAAGAGGCCACAACAGATTGTACACATGACCCAGTGAACTGCCAAGTGATACAACTCTCAAGTGAAATTTCTAAAAAATGTAAGCATAAAACCTACTTAGTAATAACCTTTTTAAACATTCTGAAAGCCAACATAAAAGCAATGACGCTACGATTTACTTGATTTAAGATAATGAACATTAGCCAACATTTCAGTCAGTAAGTGTGCATACTCATATTCACTAACTTTCCTTCTTTCTACAAAACCTCTTACATACATCTGTGGTTAACTAGGAATATGGAACTGAAATTTTTCACCCATTATGAAAGAAACAGTATATGCACTGACTATCACTATAAGTAGTACATAACGATGTAACACATGTCAGTGTGACAACAATTCCACTTACTCTGTTTGCTCTGCAGTTGTTGTACGTCCAAAATGGTCAAAGCTGATATTAAACCACTTATAGACAGCATCATGGATCTTGAAATACTTATCACAGATTTGCTGTGGTGTTAGTCCCTCCTCCAAGGCCTTCGTTTCTGTGGCAGTTCCATATTCATCCGTTCCGCATATGTATAATGTATTATTATTACATAGCCGAGAAAATCTAATGAATAAAAATATCTGTTCAACCAAACAAACTAGTTCATTCCATAAGGTTACTAATCACAATTCAACGGAAACTGGATCCGGGGGAAAAATGATTGTACTTGTCAGTTTGGTCATCAATTCGATATACAAAATTTGGCATAAGGCATACTACACTCTCTGGTAAGCTACGTCATTGATCGTAAATGGTAACACAATTCTTACACACAAAAAAATTGTAACCCTACACATATTCATATAAAAACTGAACATATGTGCACTTTGCAGGAACACTCGACACTCAAGACTGGTGTACAGAGTCAGTTATAAACAATTCATTGATATGACTGCTTTCAAAACAATGGTCATAAATGTACGAAATAAACTTCCATCACAAGATGGCTAAAATTTCTTCCGCTGGAAGAGCATGATTCCCCCCCCCTTCTCCTTCACTCTATGTACACGCACACATCTTCAGGAATCAGGATAGCTCAGTCAATATAGTGATGGACTATGGGCTGAATTGCCTGGGTTTCATTTCTGGTAGTGCAAGATTTTTCTCCAGTGTCCAGACCAACTTTGGGGCCCACCCAGCCTCCTATCCAGTGGGTACCAGTGGCTCTTTCCCCAGGGGTAAAGCAGCAAGGGCATGATAATGACTACTCACCATCTAGTGCTGAGGTCAAGATGGTAGAGCTATACCTCCACTCCCCCATATGTCTTCATGGCATAGTGCCTAACTAATTAAGCACAGGAACAATTTTACCTCGATATATATTGTTCACATTTTGTAACAAAATCAGTTTCTCATGTTTGGTGATTATGTTATGATAATTATTATTAAATGACAATTATAAACAGTAACTGTTTGCAATTATGTCTAATTCCCAGCTGGCAATTTTGTATAACTGCTGGTTATTATTCATAACAATCAGATTATTCACTTCTACTACAACAATTGCATATAGGAATAATGTGCAGGTCAGATCTGAGCTCAAAAATCACATCCAAGGTAAAGTATGAGTCTGAAAATTGGGATATTTGCACATCTGAAGGTTTAATGCAATGGTCACCTAATAAAGAAAAATAAAGTTTCCTGTGTTACTGGAAACCACAGTCAATGATTCGTTGCAAGTATCTAAAGATGACCTGCAACTTCACACCAGCCTGGTGGCCCCCTGATACAAATGTGACATACCTTGCGAAAACATCACCCGACAGCACGCACCCAATAATAGTACCCAGATGTGGAATATTGTTTACATATGGTAATGCAGATGATATTAACACATTGCGCTCTCCAGGAACAGGCAACCTATGAAAGGGAATAACCGCCGTCATTTTCAAACACTTTCTTACTCTGCTGGTAGTTGGCACATTTCTATGTCTCCCACTTCAAAAGTTCTTTTACCAATAAACAATGACACATATTCAAATGAGTATGAATATATCCTTCAATCCTTCAATATCCTGCCACATATCCCTAGAAGTCACTCCTGATACTTCCCACACTTAAGCTGTGCTTCATCATTGCTTTACCTAATATGAATATTGCTCCAAAAGCGATGTCATCTAATTTTGTGCAAATTTCCACTGCAAATACATAAATAAATATCATGTATTACTACCATTTTTGGATACTACTAATACTCATTATGAGAATATTTATAAATTCTCATTACATCAAGGCTGTACTGTATTTCCACTGACATCAGAAGGAAATGAACAGTTGGTATGGCAACCAACAGTTCAGATTTGACGCAAAACACAGTGTACCAGACATTTTCTACATACACAAAGCATAAACTTTAGCAAAAGTGAACATTTCAAACTGATGAGACAAAAATGTGCACTAAGTTGTGGTTGCAGATACTGTACGAACGAGAATCTTGTATCTTACCTGAACAATGTGCCCCCCCCCACAAGTTTGAATGCAGCTGACAGCATGAATAATCTTTGTACTTATATTACTGAACTATTCACTGAAATCTAATGTCACATCATGAAAATTACACCCTGGTATCTTAGTAAAACAAATTTGCTATGATTTTTTTGAAGAAGAAAACAAGAAAAGACTCCATGCAAAACACGCACCTTCTGTACAGAGAATTCTTAAGACTGTGCTCATTAAATTCCATATTCATCTCCCCAGTCACAAGTTCTAGCCTCATAGTTAAAATTTACTTTATACATTCTTCTCTTCTGCAACATTTTTTCTGATTAACATTAGCTCCTCTATTATACTGATGCAGATCAGGTGAATACTGTGATTTCTACAATAAAGACATACGAGAGTTCTGATCTATTGGCAGAGACTGTACCAATAACTTCAACTTTTCCATTCTGCCAAGAAACACCTTGGATAGTTAAGTTGGTACAGTGACTAGGCTACAGACTGGACAGCCAAGCAGCTCAGTTTCAATTCATGGCAGAGGAAAGAGGTTTCTCTCTTCTTCATAGTGTCCAGGCCAGCTCTGAGGCCTATCCAGCTTCATTTCCAAGGGTACCGAGGCCTCTGTCTCTGCAGGTAAAGTGGCCAGGGCATGAACCTGACCAGTCACCTCCATAGAGTGCAGAGGTCAAGGAAGGTGGAACTATACCTCCACTCTCCTGTATGTCTTCATGGCATAGTGCTTAATTTCATAATTTAGCAAAGGAAAAATCATGCTTTACTTTACAGATTGGAAATTCAGAACACAATATGAAATCCAATTGCTGAATGGTGTCATCCCAAGAACTGAAATGTCTATTAACTGATATACATATTTGGTATCCGATTTATTTCTGCCAGGAGCCATTATAAGGCAAAGTGGCCTGATTCTGACTAGTCAAATCCATGTGTTACCAGCAGTGATTTGGCTTCACATTCTTACATCCTTTAATAAAAAAGTCCTTAAGCATATATATATTTTGATATTTTTATAGACAAAGTTGATAGCTTAAGCAAGAGAAATTGCCTCATGAAGTCTTGCAAGGGGCACACACTACCAGTATATGAAACAATAAAATGAGTACTTGAAACCCAAAGTGCTCTAACTGCACTAATGAAAAGTAAGCATCCAGATTCGCGTTTTCAACATATACATACACAGGACAATAAAGTGTTAGGCTATACAAATCACACATAAGCATAACAGTATGAGCAATTATGCTTGAACGGGCAAGCAAGATACTGAGGGAATAAAAATAACAAAATAGGAACTGAAAATGGATCACTCACACAGGAGAAACTTGGGGCTTGGGTTTTGGTCTCCTGGCAGCACCACTTTGCCATGCTTCAGCTGCCGCATTAATTTCCGCTTCTGAAAGTGGTGATTCTTTGGACATACCCTGGAGGCAGAATCCATAATGTATACATCACATTACTGTGTTAAACAGATGTGTTTCAGAAAAAGAAGTGCTTGCATACATTCATGACATGCAATTAAAAAGCATGTGTTGTGCTTCAAATACAGCCCTTTACAATTCTCAATTCAGTATCGAAGCTCTTTGTTATAAAGCAGTATCACCTCCAAAATACAGAGCATCAATTCAAAGTACTGCCCGGCATACTAATAGTGTACATTGTGATGAAATTACATTCACACACACACACACACACACACANAAAAAAAAAAAAAAAAGAGAGAGAGAAAGAGAGAGAGAGTGTGGCAGCAGAAAATGAAAATTACCATCTCACTCACCATGAACACAGTCCCACTTATGAACCCTCTTATACAGTATGTGCCAAAATATGCAGTGCTGAAACTTGCACATCTCGAACGTACAGGTGTTTGTCGACGGGGTTATAGCTGAAGCCGCACGTGTTCCCAGTAGTGAAAAGGAAGTTGTGTTGTGCAGTTGTTGTTGGAAATGGCTCTCTTGACGGAGGAAAAAGTATTCATAATTGAGTATTATTTCCACTCATACGGAAGTGGTCGCTAGACAACTTGCTTCCTTGGTTCTGAGAGGCCAGATGTTATCGTCCACAAACCGCTCCATAGTACATGTGTGACGCTATGGTGTGCCGTCTCAGCACACGGTATATTAGGCACCTGTTTCATTGAGGATGAGGAAGGCCATGCCTTACCGTCACCCATGAACACTACAGGGACATGGTGATCAGATCATTTCTTCGGGATTTGAGAAGGTTCTGTTGTGCAAGGGGCCTTCACATGAATAGACAGTGGTATCATCAGGACGTCTTTTCATTTCAGTACTGAATACTTTGGCGCATACTGTATTTACTGGAACCCAGGGCATCTCTGTTGGCATAGCAGCTAGGCTATGGACCGTACAACCAAGAAGTATGAGTCCTGACAGGGGCAAGACATTCCCTTCTCCAGTGTTCAGATTGGCTTTGAAGGCAACCCACATTTGTATCGTCACATGCAGGAGAGTATGCACGACAAAAGTAACAGGTTCCAGATCAGATGATTGGATATATTAGCGTTTTGGTTAGAAATTCTCTTAATCACACTTAATGCAGCACTATCACTGATTTACACAATTTACAGTTCACCACAGCACACGCACTAATATTCTTCGTCTTCACTAATCATCTCCAGGCAACATATCTCAACACAGGAACCATAACAATCCCACTGAATTTACACACTCCAAATACTATACATAAAGTATTCTCCTCATAACCACACTCTTGCAAACTACTACACTGCACTGCGCTGCCCTCTGCACTAATCTAAGCTACAACAGGCCTTCGTTACATAGGCTCCACACGACAACACAGAAAACACAAGTCGCGATGACTAGCCAGCAAGTTCATTGGCGTGCTGACTATTGCCTAGGAACAAGCTATAACATTCATCCACTCAGACACATCTTCCACTGTTGCACGTTGGAACTTGTTTACCGAGCTGTTGCCTAGAAACACTTTGAGCAAATTTGTTATGGTATAAAATGGATATTAGGAGCTCTTTCTCCAGGGGTAAAGCTCCCAGAGTGTGTAGCTGATCACTCACCTCCTTCTAGCACTCAGGTCAACAATGCAGGAGGTGTACCTCCATACCCCTATGTCTTCATAGTGTTGTGTTTAAAAGCACAGGGCAGACTCACCTTCACTTTAACATTATTAACAGCACACCCAGTAAATTCTACCAACATATACAACTTGTATTTTATCTTAACAAGAGACTTTAACAAAAACACATAACAGAACATAACATCATTAATATTAAGATGGCTTCATTCACATCTTCACAGTTTACTTTCCCATGCATGCTATATGCCTCACCCATGTCATCCTCCTTGATTTGATAACCCTAGTAATATCTGATGGAGTAAAAATTATGATGCTCCTCATGCAATTTTTGTTCAGCCCCTTGTTACTTCCCGTCTCTTGATTATTTTCTAATAAAATGTTTCACTATGTAGTGATTTTGTATCTAAATTAAATAATGGCATGGCTTCAAAAATGTTGTTTACTTGATGCTACCACCTACCTGCAAACAAAACTGCCTGTGCTTTATGAAATATAAGATTTTAATTTATGGCAAAATTAAATTATTCCATTTTCCCACAGAAATGTTATAACTCATGTCTCAGATGTAAAAGAACTGCATTAAACTGAGAGAACTACCTAAATATAGATATATGTGCTAAGTACTGCAAATGTACTTCAACAATATACACTATAAATTTGCCAGGTAACTTTTAGAATGGACACCTGCATAGAGAAAAATGAATATCTGTATCATACATACTTCAAAACACGACTATTTTTTTTTCAAATTTATTTAAAGTGACAACATTTCAATAATCTAATTCATGGCATTAAATGTGGTCACTTTAAATAAAAGACATACTGGAGAAAATTAAAGATTGGGGGGGAAAAAGAGACTTCTCATCCACCAACCTGTATACAACAGAAGAAAATGTGAGGTGGAGGAGAAAAGGAAATTTGTCTTCATAACAAAATGTGGCAAAAATAATGAGCATCACCACAATAAAAAAATGTACATATGAAAATATGTGCAAAACAATAATCTGCAGAGTGCACTTTTATCAGTTCTAGGCTGGGAAAGAAGGACACAGAAAAACTGTTTCTTTTCCATGTTGTTAAATCTTCATTTGTCTTTTCCGATTCTGTTCTCAGCAACAAGAAATTATTCTGAACATTTCTTTAGCTACACAAAATACTATTTCATCTCAGATATTCACTGATATGATTTTCATTTTTCTCTTCAGAATTATTGAGAACAGATGTTAGTATTTCCCACTGCATACTACTTGGCCATTCAAAAATCCTGTTCTGCTATGATTTATGCAAACTCACATCAAGACTGTTTACAGATGGAATTCGTGAGTGTGGCACTTTTTCCACATAAGAGAGGACTGCATTAACTGGATACCAAGTTGCATTTGCCAAGCTGTGGTAAGCAGCTATACCCACTTTAGGACATAACTGATCAACTGCCACCTAACAAAAACAAAACAATAATCATATCACCAACAATTTATAATTACCAAACACAGCCTACATGCTAATCTTTATCATACTGTTTCAAATATCAGTTCTTTAATTAATGACTTTAATACTAACACACTGCGCTTGAGATTTCCAGACACAAGAAAACATGCTGTAGCTAGGGTTACTTCCAGAAAAATGCACCATGGATATTTTTGCAGAACTGTGCCGAGGGCATTCTACAATACAACCAAAAACTATCATCTCTGAGGTAAAGTCAAAATTACGTATAAACTGACAAGATGGAATAATTTTGTATGCTGGTCCTCACTCTATCCGGGCATTATAAAGAACTGTTACCTAAGACAAAGCCAATGGGTTCATTTCTGGATTACTACATAACAATATCTGGGATGCAAAATATTGTCAGCAGCTTTGTACAGCCCCTGATCAAAATCTGAGCGTGGCAACAGCTACAATGTGCCTCAATATAACAGCTTCTCCAAGTAACAAAACACCATGTATGCCAACAAGAAAGCTGAACTGCCATTACAAGACCTGTACTTCAGGTTGTAGACTGAGATGTGAAAACCAACGCTGCACATGGCTCTGTTCTGACAACAGCTCCTGAAGATGTTTTGCTCCTGTTGCTAACAGAAACAGAATGCTCCATACAGCTACATCTGCTACGGATACTCCTTCCTGCAAGGACACAGAGAAGCAGTTACCAACATGACAGGAAATGCAGTAGAACCTGTATCAGACCTGTCTATAATAGAAAATGATCTGTGCCCTAGTAACACATAAAATATTTTACTTATTTCTGTAGTAAGAACTCAAACACAACAAAGCTAGTAATGTGAATTTCTTAACCCTTTGTATGCCATGTGCCCACCTGACAGGCTCTTCTATAAATTTTGTCAAAGGTTTCCATTATTGGTCCATACATAGCACTAGCAACATGTTGCATATTGTATGGCTTGTATATTTGTTATTATTCTGCAACAGTATTTCTGCGCTTGGTTTCTTTCCTTTAGTTTGATAATTTTGTTTTAACATCCTCCTCCTCTGCATTAGTTTAAGTTATTCATATGCATTTCCAAAATGTTTATTGCAAATTTTCCCATTATCTCCTGTTGATGGGACATGATCTCAGGTGCAGATAACAGTTGTAGTTATGCTGACTCTGCTTGTCCAGTAAATTGAGACTAGTTCATTTAAAGGACCCAAATGCATGCTTCCCCACTTTTCCACCAAACAACAGAAAAAGATCAAGTTTCCAAGATGGGTTCTTTAGGAACCAGATGATGGAAAAAGTCCAAAAACTCTGTTATCCCAAGTGTAATACTTGATCCGCAGAACTTCAGAATTCACCTGCAGTCCCTCACTCTGAGTAATGAACATAAACTGCACATATATCATTCCAAGCACAATACACTATCATCAGAATCCTTCAGAACTGATTTATAGTGTCACATTTTGAGTAATGAAAATAAACTGCAAGCATTTAATACTAAAGTGCTATAGAAAATAGTTGGAATCAACATACAAACAAGCAGGTAGGAAATGTATAATCCTACATAATGAAAAATTATTTAACTGTAGAGCTCAAGTAATGAAGTCTTCTCAGGCCATCAGCTGTGAGAAGATGGAGTCTCTGAATAAAATATGGTCTCCTGAAACTAAAAGTTTNGGGGGACTTCAATGAAATAAAAGTGAGAGAGAGGGAAATTTCTAAAGGGATTTTAGAAAAAAAAAAAAATAGGAATACTTAAGTAGCAATTTATTACATTCATGAAAAAAGAAAATGTAACTCATGAGACGGTTGAGGAGGAAGAGCAATACAACAACAGGATAAGACAGAACAGAATATGAGGTGTATTGGAAAGTTCCTGGACTGTTATTGTTGTAACTGCTCCAGTGAAAGATGAGAGGTGAGGCCAAGGTCACACTTCTGCAAGCATATTGCATCAGTCTGCCACGTGACACCGCACTGTGAACAAACACTGTATTTACAAGAGTGCTTTTTCAACTTTGTGTTTCAGTCTGTCTGCGATGGATGGCAAAATCAAGCAACGTGTCTGCATAAAGTTTTGCGTGAAGCTCAGTAAATCTGCTACTGAAACCCTTGAAATGCTTTGTGAGGCTTTTGGAGAATATTCAAGTCAGACAGCGGTTTCTAAAAGCCATTCACATTTTAAGGCCATTTGAGTGTCAGCTGAAGATGAAGTTCAGGGTGACTAAGCACCTGCAAAATGACAGGAAATGTTGAAAAAATTTGAGAACTCATCCACGAAGACCGTCACCGAACAATCCATAAGCTCGCAGATACCACTGGGATCTGTTATGGAGTTTGCAAACAGATCTTAACAGAAAATTGTAATATGTGCCAGACTGCATCAAAGTCTGTTCCGTGACTCTTGACAAATGATCAAAAGCAGCAGTGCACAAATATGTCTTGAGCTACAAGAGAAGGTTAACGAGGGCCCAACTTTTATCTCTAGGATCATAACAGGTGACGAAAATTGGATTTACGGTTATGATCCACAAATAAAACAGCAATCATTGCAACACAAGAGTCCACAATCACCAAGAGCAAGAAAGGTGCGGCAGGTTCAAAGTTCAACAAAGAGCATGCTCACTGTTTTTTTTTTTTTGACATGAAGAGGACTGTTCACTGTGAATTTGTTTCTCCTAACACTACGGCCAACTTTGACTTTTACTGTGATATTCTGAGGCACTTACAGGGTTTGTCAGAAAAGTAATGTCAGTGAGGCGATTAAAAAACATTTATTGATTAGATCGGTACAACACATTAAAAGGCTTCAAAATAGGCTCCTTCTGCATCGATACATCGCTTCCAGTGAGATTTCCAGGCATCGAAGGCGACATGGTAGGCCTCCTCCAGAATGTCCTTCAGAGCCTTGGTTCAAGCCTCTTCAACTTCGTTAACTGTCCCAAAATGATGTCCTTTCATGGGAGTTTTCAAACGCGGAAACAAAAAGAGAAGTCTGGGGGAGCCATGTCAGGACTGTAGGGCGGCTGGGGAACCGTTGGCACCTTTGAATCGGTCAGGAAGCAGGTCACAAGGAAGGCGGTGTGGGCTGGTGCATTGTCATGGTGAAGTTTCCAATCGTCCGCGATGTCGGGCTGGATGTGATAAACCCTTCGTTTGAGTCTCTTTGGCACTTCCACGTAGAATTTGGCGTCGATGGTTGTACCATGTGGTACAAACTCATGGTGGACAAGCCCCCTGATGTCATAGAACACAATGACCATGACCTTAACCTTTGACTTGCTCATTCTGGTCTTCTTGGGGCGAGGGGATGCCGAGGTGTGCCACTCGGCACTTTGACTTTTTGTTTCGGGGTCGTACTCAAACACCCAAATCTCGTCACCTGTGATGACATTGTCTAAAAAGTGGGGGTCACTTTCACACAAGTCCAAAAGTTCTTGGCACGTTTCAACTCTGCGCGATTTTTGGTCGTCCATTAACACTTTGGGCACCAGCTTTGCGCACACTTTTCACATCTGAAAATGGTTTGTCACAATCTCGTGAACGGTACTTTTTGGAATGTTTAATGTCTGTGCCATTAAACAAACACTCAAACGACAGTCTGAGTTCAAAAGTTCTCTCACACGCGTCAGTGGTGCTTGTTGATGGCCGTCCAGCATGGGCTTCATCGCCGACCTCTTCAGGGCCTTCTAAAAAGGCCTTGTATCACCGGTAGACCTGACTTTCCAACAAACAATCATCACCGAAGGCCGTCTTTATCATGGGAAAAGTTTCCACTGCAGACTTGCCAAGTTTCACACAAAACTTGATGGCAATCCTTTGTTCCAAGGATTGCGGCTTGCACAGGAGACAAAAACGAGTTTCACGGAAAAGCCTTTCATCACTCATAGGAAGTTTGGAGACGACTAAGCGACCGCACATTCATAAGCTGACTTCCCCCTCCACCAATCCCAACCGGTCTGAGCGCACTGCGATGTATAGTCACTTCACAATAAAATCAGACATTACTTTTCGGACAAACCCTGTAAAGAGAAAATGTGCAACACAGAAGACAGGCACTTTGGCACAACAAAAACTGGCTCCTTCATCATGACAATGCACCTGCCCCCACATTCCTGACAACCACAGAGTTTATGATTAACAACATGGTTATAGTTCCTCATCCTCCTTACTTGCCGGACTTAGCCACCTGTAATTTCATTTCTGTTTCTCAAATTGAAAATTAAATTGAAGTGACACCTTGAAACAGTGTCTGACATCCAAAGCGAATCACAAGTGGTACTCAACAGTATTAAGGAAAATGATTTCCAGGATGCTTCTGAAGAGTGGAAAAAAAATGATTGGATTGCTATATATGTTTCCAGGGAGACTATTGTGAAGGAGGTGGAAGCCAAAATTGAGTAAGTTATGCCAGTATTTCTTGTTTGACCTAGTCAAGGAACTTTCCGATAGCTGCACACGAAACATTCACTCTGTAAAGTGTTAAATGGTATGGAAATAATTTAAAATGTTGGTTTGGAAACAGACAGTTACCAACAGCAATGCATAAAATATAGGACAGATATCAAGGTACTGAAATCAAAGCAACAGGAAAGATTAGGATAGCCTACAGATATAAAGAAAATAATTTCCTTCAGCAAGAAGAAAAATCAGTTGAAGAAAAATGTATACAACCTACTCCTGTAAGGAACTTCTTTCCAGAAAGTGCCAAGTTCAAGGTAGTTAGATATTCCTTCAGCTGCCTGCTGACCCCTGTGTCTGGTTTGGATGTAGCACTCAGGTAATATGCAAGCACAGGCTAATAACAAAAAGTTCTGCATTAACTCACACAAACAGCTCTACATCATTCTCCGACCACAGATATGTAACAAAACCTGACACATGTAATCATAAAACACCCATGGCATACTTACTGGCCACACAAAACACATAAAATGGTGAAATTATGTCCATCATTTCTTCCGTATGTATTGTCTCCAAAAGCACTCCATACATTTCAAAGGAATTTGGTATCTGAACGTTAAGTGAATTAATTTTAGTTCCTATTGGTACATTATAACACAAATTTCACATAAAACCAAAGCCAAGTTTTAGTGTTTCCCTCACAGAACAGCATATGTGTTTCATACTTTGGTCTTCTGGGTTATGATAGCAAATGGTCAAAACATTTCTGAGGAACAAAGTGCCTCATCTTCTACTCTAGCCCACCAGATTACAATGTGTCATAACCCACAAGGCCATAATATGACTCTTCACTCCAAGAAAATCTAAAATCTTATGGCTTATCTATTTACCTTCAATAGCTCAGATTACATGGCATCTAATGATAGGAAGACTTGAGAATAATGAAACAAAAAAGATGGACATGCCTAATTTGAAGTACCAACCATGGCAGTTACATGGAGGGACTGAGCAAAACCACAAAAACCCTATGTCTAAGTAACTAGTTAACAAAACTTAAGCTTGGAACATCTCAAGTAAGTAGTAGTGGTGCCACTCTCTCAATCGTGATGTTTGGAAACAGCTTATCATACAAAACCTCAGTATATAAAACATAATTCAGATCTGTCTGAGATCTACAGCTCTTATCTGAAACATTCTTTTATGTAATGGTACATTTAACAAATACAAAGAAAAATAACTTGACTCCACACAGTGTCTCTATAGTGCAATTATCTCTGCAACAGTTGAACTCCATCACCATTCAGATATGCTCATGAAATGTTACCAGGACTGTGTTATGGCTGTCTACATCACACCTGGTAACACTTTATTTATTTAATTCTGATCCACTCTCATACACTATAGCCCTTGAAGGAAACTAAAATCATGATGTCACTGAACATGCATGCACCCTATCAACTTCAGACAAATTCTGAAAAGGTGCTTAATTCTATATTAAGATCCCTTCTTTCTCCATTAATAGTGTGTATTAAGTTATAAATTTATCCTCCAGATGGCAAAGTTTCCAATGTATAACTGCCATCAATGTAAGTTTGTGAAAACTATTACAGTGTCAGAATTACATAAAATACCAACATACATAGTTACAGACTATCTCCTATTAAATACACAAATTTGTAGTGTGTTTGCTACCAGGCATTTCAACATCAAAGAAATATTGCAATCAGTCATGCCCTCAGTATTTTCCTTTTCTGCTGCAGAACTGGAGTAAAAAGTGTAATGAAATGGAGAACTTGTATATGTGTGCACATGCACAAGTCTTTTCTTTCACTGGGTTGGTTACCTGTAGCTCTGAAGATTCCCATTCCAACCACTTATCTACCACTACACTGGTACTCTGATGAGGTGGAAATAACAGCCGACTGGCTGAATTTGCTGAGAAGAGAAATTCACCAGTATCTAGTTCAAGAACAGGAAGGCGACGTGGGGACTGGAAACGTGGATCTATAACAGCACCAATAATATATAACTAATATCAAACCACATAATTCATTTGAGTCCAGCCAGACTAAGAACATGTACAATAAAGTGGACCATGACAAACAAGGGCAGCATCTAAATGGAACAAGCACCTCAAAACCACAATGCCTTAAGGTTGGGGGTTTCTGCAGCTGGCTGGTAACATTATCACAAAAAAAAAAAAAATGCTCGTCTGTCACAAGCTTCAGAATTGTGTTGTAGAATACAGACCTCACAAGCGAGCTCTTCTCATGAGGTTTCTCTATTAAAATGTTGCATACATTTCCAACAAGTTTCAAATGGGCTAGCAATATCCACGTACATAAAAAAAATGTAAGTGTTGTGTACATGGCATATTACAGTTCACAGTAAGCATACTGTCATTTTAAAGAAGAGGTATAAGACTTTTATCACTTACATCTGTTTTAAATATTTTTTACAAAGTAAAAATGAATATCTTATGTGGAGATTTTCTCCATCCATCTGTCTGTGACACAGCATCAGTGCCTAAACTGCTGGGCAGATATTATTAAGATTTGATATGGCTGACTTTCACTGAATGTTTTTGGGAAATTCCAATATACAGCCATACTGACCCCCCCCCCCCCCTTAAGGTGGTGTGTCACTCAGTCCCTCGGAACTTAGTCCATAAATGGTCCACTGCACCAGCCCAAACAATAAATGAAAGTATGGGGTATTGATGGAATGGTAACTGCCATGGGAAACCAAAGCGCTTGAAAAAAACATCCCCAAGTACAACCCTGTCCAACATGGACTACCTTGGGACTGGTGAGAAGCCAGTGACTAACCACCTGAACTATAGCATGGCGGTCATTTTCATCTACAATAAAGTCCCCTTTACCCTACACCATAAATAAGCTTTCACTTGTAAACTTATATCATAAACCAATAATAAAGAGTTCATAACTGGCCACAAGTCGGCTAAATAAACTGCAAAGGATGCCACTGATAATTCTGTGTATTACATTGTATCCCTACCCACCTTGTTAAACATCATGTTATAAACATTACCATTCTAGTGCTTCCCTCTTAAATACTAAGCAATGAAATTTACATGCAGCAAGGATCATCTACTGTACACCTACAATGAACATCTCAATGCAAGTCATTTACATATCAAATGTTGTGTAACAGGAATAGCTTTCAAGCATATTGCTTGCAGGTATATGACTGCAGACTGAAGGAAACTTGAAAATATCTCTGCAGAATGGCCAGCCTTTCAGTGAGATCTGAACCAGGTGCTCCTAAATACGAAGCCAAGTGCGAACTATGTACTACACTGCAATATTTGGTGCAAAAATATTTTTTAAACTTCTAAGTTGGTAATATCCGAATTTCGTTCATGAAGTTCGTTACAGACAGATTAATCTGGCTGAATAAATTCCTATGGTTTTAATACAAGAGCCCATAAGCGATTAACTGTGTCTATATTATGAGCTGCAGTGAAAGATAAATAACTGGATATAAGAATGACCAGAAAAACTAAATATTATAGTACACATTAAATAGAATTGTTGGAATGTGGAATGAATCCTTCTGCAACATCTACCATGGCAGATATACTTTTATAATCCTATTACAAGATGTAACAGGGTCCACCCAAGGAACAAACTGAAGGGAGAAGAAGATTTCTCTGCTCAACCCTGATATGAGAGAAGAATAACTCCAAGAGTTTCTGATTCTGCATAAGGAGCAGCAAATTTTGTATCAAAATACAAGTACTGTACACTAAATGACACACTGAAGTGGGAAACGCTCTTGCTACATATCTGGCAGGTCACATGATCAAATTTTGACTCCAAGACTGGCTTTCGTGGTTCTCAATTCCTCTCGGCACACGTATGGATACTACCCCAAATTAGGCCACAACCACTTAATTTCACATCACTGTTCACTAACCATCCTACCATTTAATTCTATATAATGCGAACTACAGATGGTGACGTTAAACAACCCACAAATAAACAAAATACATGGCGAGAGAAGTCAGAATATTATAACAAAAATCAAACCGAGAAACCACAGGATGGCAATGTTGCTCTCCGTGCATGTAAAAAGTCTTAGAACTCTAGGCTTTCAGTTACAAAGCAAACAGGAAATACATGACCAACTGATATAAAACTGAAATTATTAAAAGTTGGGTGACAGAATCGCCGACAAAACAAGCACCTTTTCTTAACAATGTATGTTTACTCACTACTTACATTGTAGAATCTGACTTTCCCGAATCTCGAATGGGAATTATTTTACCAATAACTTTTATTCATGGCTTCACTACCGTATGGGTTGCTAACCTAAACTTACCATCCACATCAGCAATTTCACACAAAATTTCCTTCTGAGCAAAATTTGCCGATATTAGCACTTTAAGTGATAACGGATTATTTTCGTTTGTTACAAGTTTCATCGTTTACTGTTACATATATCGTTAATATAATAAATAATGGAAAAATCAATAAATAACTAGTCTTCCTTCCTCTACCGTAATACAAGCCACATGGCCTTGATAACACGCACGGGATGATGAACGTTGCAAACATATGCAACAATCAATTGCGTACAAATTCATATGTCTATGACCATATACAGTGGTTGAAAATTGCCCTTGAACACCTAGTGATTATAAGTTTTTCCGTTAAAGTTTTGATTTTTATTAAAGAAACTTAATTTGCAAAAATGAAAGAAAAATAATATTGGCATGCCTGAAACACGAGAGTTGCGGCCGGTTGCGTCAGCCAGATTCTCATATTTCCTTCGCGATCGTTCACGATCCTTCACGATTATGATAGATTATGATCATTATGATGCAGTTCAGTTCGTTTGTTGCTTCAAACGTTTTCGGTGTGAAGGTTACGGGATTCTGAGGTGTAACGCCTTGTATGTCGGAAAAAGAAATCTAGAAGACCGTAGTTTTCAGTCTGTTTTATTTTCCTCTGTGTATAGCCTGCTGACGAATCTGTAGACTACATAATGTATGTGGTCTCTGACCCCATATTAAATTTCTGCGTTACAACAGCTCTCTTCGATTGAAAGAATCGTATTTCACAAATATATAGATGGTGGGTGAATACCCACGAGGTGACCTCTGTTGAAACAAGACATCATATTTGTATTTTATGAAGAGCACCATTTTCTGGGACATGACACTGTGCAATCCAGTATGTCCAAGAATGTTTCGGAGGGGCATACTGCCACTGTCTACAGGGTCAAAGGTTCAACCAAGCAGGCAGCGTATCTTCTAGGATGGAACGCTGTGTAATCTGGAAGATGTATATCGACGTTTCGGAAGAACGTCCGGCTCCATCCTTAGGGAGGCAAATGGAGGCTACAGGTTTCTCCGATATGTCTCGTAACAATCTCACAGACCTCACAGATTACACAACGTCATCAAACAGGTTGATCTACAGATAACACTCTCGACCTCTATTCAGAAAGAACACGGTTCCAATCTCTGCTGGGACATCGGATATGCTGAGGTTATTCGTGGTTTCCCTCAGTCCTTCCAGGAAAATACCAGAATAATGTCTATACTGGGCATGACTTCTTCCTTCCAAATCATTTATACTTCATCACTGATCTCTCATCTTACCATCAAATGTTATACAGAATCGATAGAGAAAACGTAGTTAAATAATCCACGGAAAAATATACACGGTGTCATATCCTACAACTTTGCCTGGGGAATCTCTCATAGCAAACGACCGCAATTAAATGGAAAACTTGAAGACAGCGTTTTGAACCGAATAATCTGAGTTTCAAAATTCGTACCTTCCCGACCAGCATAACAACTAATCAAGGAAATTAATATTTGCAGTCTTCGTTAAAACTCCGTGTAGCTACACGCCCTGAGAAACTCACGGAGGCAAGAAACCCGTCGAGGGCACACCAAGGAAACTAGCAACCGCAATTTCCGAGAATTGTTATTTGCCTGAGTAGAACACTTTGTGGGAACATCCCACATTATCACGCATTTCTGCAAAGCTCGCTTTTCACATCACTTTTCACCATCACGCGCGCTAACCAATCAGATTGCTTCAAATGATCGCATTTATACTACGCTTGGCGATAGCCCGCGTCTACACCATTACGCGCGCTAGCCAATTAATTCTTGCTCCTCACTTTCGAGTTTGGCTCCGCCCCACCGACCAGCGTATAAAAAGGAGCGACCCCAGGGTCGAGTTATCCAGAGCACAGAGTGGCCTTACGCAGTGTCACAACTGCCAACAATTTGGCCACGTCTGGGCTAATTGTAAACAACCTCCCCGTTGCATGTGGTGCGGGGGTGGCCACCTGCACAGAGAGTGCCCCGAGAAAGAGAACGCTACCTCCACTCCAGCGTGTTGTAACTGTGAGCTGAAGGATGGGGAGAAACCGCATCCCGCTAACTACCGCGGCTGCAGTCACGCGAAGGAGGAGCTGCAGAAGAGGAAATTGCAGAGAGCACCCAAAACCACAACAGGAAGGGTGTTCTCATCAAATATAGTCACTCCTGGAGTCTCCTTCGCGGCGGCTCTCCGAGGCAACACGTTGCAGGAGCAGCGGTCTCAGA